ATAGTAGTCATTTGACATTGTTTTCGCTACTTCGTCATATTGGCAAGAAAACTTAGAAAAACGCACTTCGTCCGGAGTCCATAGAATGCATGATAATCTACAGAGTAGGACCGTGGAGTTGGTACATTCCCAGATGTTTCGCCTACATCGTAGTCGGCATCGTCAATGAGTCTTACTCTTCTCAGCACTAGACTACGACTCGTCAAAGAGACAAGTGAAGTCAATCCCTTGACCAGTTTTCTGTCAAAACGGTTGTGCTATCACTCCCAGTTTTGTGCTGGCTCTATCCATTTCCCACCCTCTTGCATTGTCCTCGTCCTATCAAAACTTCTGACATTTATATTCCACAAGAGATGTGCTCTTTGGCGAATTTACCGTTGCGTCATTACACCTGCTATTTGCCTTGCTCCCCTCCCTTTCGAGTGGCTGATCCAACTCGAGCCTCCTGCCCAAATCTTCCTCATGGGCCCGTAGATCCATTTCTTATCTTTTTGTTGACCGATCTCAATCGGTTACAGCCTCAGTTTACTTTAACCCTAGGTGCAATTCTCAAGCCTTCAGTTGCACGTACACTGTCTCCTCATCCGCAGAGCGCCTAGGCTCTGATTCCAATGCCTGCTGATATTAGGTATTGCCTTCACGCATCATCTCGATTAAATTCGTGTAGTCTGAGCAAACTGTGGAGATCTTTCGTTGGTCGCCTACTGCATCTCAAGTGGATTATTAGTCATTTTGTTCATAATGCCCAATTTCTGTGACCCAATCCCTCTCCCTAGTCACGTAAAACGTCAAGGTTCCAAAGTGTTAGCTGTTTATTCGAGCTGACTACATTCACTGAGAACGTCTTCCATTTATTTCCGAAACTTCTTCACCCTCTTTTTCCTTCCGATTCCTTATCCTCTGGTTTACGAGAGATCCTTTATACAGGCATTCTCTTTTCGCCAATGTATTTCTGTTCGCCACGCTGCATGTTATGCAGTAAGCTCCTGAGCAATCCATCTTATCTACCCTCTCATGCTGTGTGGGTAGATCTGTGAAGAGTGTTGTTTTTTCCTTCGGGGTCACCTGAATATTCCATTTTATTAATGTTGGCAGTAGTTCTTGAGCTAGTTCGCAGGACTGGAGACATATCTTTTTTGCTAGTCAGAATCCTGGCTAGATCACATCAGACATTGGACTTAATATCTATAAACTTTAGTAGCTTATTTCTTTCCATATAATAGGATTCATTTAAAAAGTTTAAGTGTCTCTTAAAGTCACAAAATCTAGAAGTGATACCATAAAGTTTACAACAGTTCAAAAAGGTCAGATGGCATAATTGACTTACAATTGCCTTCTTTGTCAAAATTTATATAGTACATTGTCTTGCAATCTTAGTACCGCAGTTTAAATGAAGATACAAGGACCAAGAAGTTGTGGCCTCCATTTAGGTCACAGTCTCTTTTCGATGTATAGTAATCATTTGACCTTGTTTTCGCAACTTGGCCATATTGGCAGGAAGACCTAGAAGAACGCACATTGTCTAAAGTCCATAGTATGCATGATAATCAATAGAATAGTATCGTGGATTTAGTAGATTCCTATACATTTAGCTACAATTAACGGACGTGGAATTCTGAGCTGAAGAAATGGAAAAAATGACTTGGACATTCCTCGGTAATGGAAACCCATGATAAGTTATACAAAGAAATATAATGGCCGTGAAGAGGCTCATACAGTGAAACCACAAAGAAACAGAAGATTAGGGAGGTCATTGACATCGTTGTAGGAAAAATTTAATGAACAGGAGATTGGAGAAAGGCCGAGTCAGTGATAACTTTGCTTATTGTCTAATCAAATTAGGAGAAAACAGGGATGCAACAAGACAAGCAAAAAGAGGTCGCCTGGATCAAGGATCTCTCGTAAACCAGAGGGCAAGGAATCGGAAGGAAGAAGAGTGTGAAACAGTTTCGGAAATAAAGCGAAGACGGTCTCAGTGAATGGAGTCATCTCGAATAAGCAGCTACAACTTTGGAGGCCTGACGTTTCGCGTGACTAGGGAGAGGAATTGGGTCACAGAAATTCGGCATTATGAATAAAATGACTAATAATCCACTTGAGATGCAGCAGGCGACCAAAGATAGATGTCCACAGTTTGCTCAGACTACACGAATTTAATCGAGATAATGTGTGAAGGCAATACCTAATATCCGCAGGCATTGGAATCAGAGCCTAGGCGCTCTGTGGATGAGGAGACAGTGTATGTGCAACTGAAGGCTTCAGAATAGCACCTAGGGTTAAAGTAAACTGAGGCTGTAACTGATTGAGATCGGTCAACCAGAAAGATAAGAAATGGATCTACAGGCCCATGAGGTAGATTTGGGCAGGAGGCTAGAGTCGGATTGGTCACTCGAAAGGGAGGAGAGCAAGGCAAATAGCAGGTGTAATGACGCCACGGTAAATTCGCCAAAGAGCACATCTCTTGTGGAATATAAACATGTCAGAAGTTTTGATAGGACGAGGGCAATGCAAGGGGGTGGGAAATGGATAGAGGGGCGAGCATAAAACTAGGAGTAAGAGCACAACCGTTTCGACAGAAAATTGGTCAAGAGATTGACTTCACTTGTCTCTGACGAGTTTTAGTCTAGTGCTGAGAAGAGCAAGACTCACTGACGATGCCGACTACGATGTCTGCGAAACATCTGGGAATGTATCAAGTCCACGGTCCTACTCTGTAGATTATCATGCATTCTATCGACTCCGGACGAAGTGCCTTTCTCTAGGTCTTTCTGACAATATGACTAAGTTGCCAAAATAAGGTCAAACAATTACTATTATTTTTTGTATATGTGTAGTTTTGAGATTACCATTCAATTAGTTATATATTACTGGTAGTCTCTGAATTCTGCATACATATGAAAAAAATATTTGATGTAGTCAATTGTTATATCAAAAATACGTCTGCTTTTTTTATAATATCACCAAAGAATGTGATATGGGAAAATACCTGACCTTACCTAAAATTTATCTCTACTCTGTGATACAAGGGCACTCATGGCAATGTGGCCGAGTGGTTAACGTGTTAAGCTCACATGTGCTGCCACGGTTAGACCCCCGCTGGCGGTGTTGATAAGACTTATGTGAGGTCGAAGCTGCAGTTCCCACTGAATGTGAACAACCTTTGGGAAAGCAAGGTTATCTTAAGTTCAATGGAAACGTCAGCTATACTTAGATCATTGTCCGGAAATTCTACTACCAGTCCTTCATCACCTTAAACGAAATACAGTGAATACATCTCATATAACTACTATTGTGTAGCAAACTTCTTACAGAACTAATTGTTCCACTGAGCACTATCACCTTAGGACCCACGCAGATATAAAACTATAAACATTCGCTGTAATTATCTTAGCTTACTCTGTAGGTCCCCAGTAGCCACTTGAAGCCAGGCTTGTTATATTATTAATACATCAATGATTGCATTCTATCGTTTCATTTTAAGTTATATCAGTGGCCAGCGCTGTCTGAAATCTTTGAGCGGCTATAGGTTTTAACTTATGGCCCAAGTCAAACTTAATTCTATATCAGACCCCGTATTTCCCTCTCCAAAATTTGAATCAAAAGAATATGGATCTGTAGACCTTCGGGTTACTCAAGAGTTAATTCAATTTTGCGGTTATTTAGACTTTTTTACCCGAGTTGTGATGACTGAATTTGAAATTATAAGTTCATATTATTCAAGTTTAACAGATGAAAAATCATATCTCATTTTAAGCTACTTTACTATACTTGTATTTTCTTTCGTCTCCGAATTTAGTTCATATTCTCATGATGTGTTTTTGAAAAGCTGACTTATCTTTCTTTTTTTTAGCTGGAGCACGCTTCCAATGCTGGGCATAACACTAGAAATTCAGTTTCCCTTCCAATCGATTTACTGAACAAGACTAGCTCAGATTCTTTATTACATCCTATCTATCCTCAGAGTCCAGCATTTACGAAATCTACCGGATCCAATGTTTCACCATTTGAGAATATCGGAACTCTTTCTCAAGCAATTGAATGTCTTCAAGCGCCTGAACTGGCTGAAGGTCAACCCCCTGTTCCTCCGGAGCCATTTACTTTGTGTAGGTATAACCTAATTTGCCCAGGGTAAAATTCTTATACTCATTTTTCTTATATAAGCAGAGTTTCGAGGCTACCAGTAAATCAGTTATATGAGATGTATCACCCTATTTTGTTTAAAGTAATGAATGATTGGTAATATAATTTTCCTACACTGATATGAGTAGAGCTGACTTTTACATTGAATTTAACATAGCCTTGCTTTCCCGAAAGTTGTTTCCATCCAGGGTGGACTGCAGTTTCGATCTCACCTAGGTATTATAAACACCCCCGGCGGTAGTCGAACCGTGAGTTTGACTGTGGCTGAGTGATTAACGTGTTCAACTCACGTGCTGCACTCTCACGGTTCGACTCCCGCCGAGGGTGTTGATAAGACCTAGGCGAGATCGAAACTGCAGTCCACCCTGGATGGAAACAACTTTCGGAAAAGCAAGGCTATGTGAAATTCAATGGAAACGTCAGCTCTACTCATCAGTGTGGTAAATTTATACTACCAGTCTTTTATCACCTTAAGCGAAATATGGTGAATACATTTCTTATACTCAGCAAAATTTGAAAATATTTCACTAGTATTCGGCAGTCTTAGGCATATGGTTGAGTGTGCCTGACCTGAGATTGATTGATATTATAGAAGAATTAAAGAGATAGCATATGTCGTAGCTATGAAGACCAAGATGTGACATTTTATTTGGTCGCAGTCTCCTTTAGCTTTATAGTGTTGGTTGGACTTTGTTTTTGCAATTCGGTTGGAATGACAGGCATAATGTAGAGATACAGTGTTGATTAGAAATAGGTCAGAGAAAAGTCAATGTATTAGGTGGACTTAAAGACACGGTTATTAGAGGATACTGTGAAAATGTGGGTTACGAAGGGGCAGAATATCAGGAAAAGGTGAACGTCAGGGTTGGTGTTCGATTACTTGCATCCCAAGAAAGATCTGTTATAGGAAGCTGGCTCGCTTGGGTTTACAACGCAGCTATATATCCTATAATCTAGCTTTGTGTCGTAGATTCATTATTTTTTATTTACTTCTTACGTAAACATACATTTTTGTATCCATTATGACAAGGTTTATAATAATGAAAATGTCCTATTTCGAAATTCTGTCATTATTCTATAAGGTGATCAAGCTGATCTTATTTATTGTTTCAAACACTTACGACGACAGAGTTCTGGCTATTCTGTTACTAGTCTTTGCGGACCTTTGATTTGTCTTAACAATTTTTCCTTATTTGAATCATTTTCTACCACTTCCTGTTCCTGATTTCTATCATAGGCATTTCATCTTTCATTAATGTGCTTTTTTTCGTTGTTTACTTATCAAAAGATGGTAAAACTCAACTTGAGGTCTTTTGAATGAGTCGCCAAGGAAGATTAATATGATTTTATCCCAATTACTTTTATGTTGGAGATTAAGGAGTATTCCTGCATATGATTTCTTTCTAAATAACCTCTTATTAAGAGTCTTATAGGAGCGAATTATTTCTACATCCATGAA